TCACAAGCTTTGTTTAATCATAGCCTGTTCTGTTTTCATGCAATTTATACAAGAAGGGAAGTGATTCTCTGTAAATTTTTGAAACTCAAATTTGAAGTTGTACGTTCGGCATTGTCTTATTAGAAGGAAACAGAAATATAAGCTATAGTATTATTTGTTGTTGTTTTGAGACAGGGTCTCCCTCTAGCCCTAGCTGACCTGGAACTCATTATGTAGAGATCCACCTGCCCTGTTTTCATGCAATTTATACAAGAAGGGAAGTGATTCTCTGTAAATTTTTGAAACTCAAATTTGAAGTTGTACGTTCGGCATTGTCTTATTAGAAGGAAACAGAAATATAAGCTATAGTATTATTTGTTGTTGTTTTGAGACAGGGTCTCCCTCTAGCCCTAGCTGACCTGGAACTCATTATGTAGAGATCCACCTGCCTCTGCTTCCCAAATGCTGGGACTAAAGGTGTGTACCACCACATCAGGTTCTAAACTAGATTATTAATAATTCATCACAAGAATATCTAGTTTGAATAGTGACAGTAGTGTGCATGATTGCATAGAAAACGAAGTGTGCGTCAAGTGCAGAGGGCACAATGACTGACCCAAAGTGTCCCGATAGCTTTGGGGTGCACCCCTCATTTGAGAATCACTGCAGGTAGCTGGTAACACTAGAACATTTAAAAACCAGCAGTTCTTTAGTAAAAAGATTAATTTGTCAGCAATTTGTCAATTCAAAGAATCTGCCAGTTCTCCTAAATAATTTGGAGCCACTTGCAAGTCATTTGAAGACTCTCCAGACTTACATTATCTAACATCCCATGCTTGGCAGAGACACAGAAAGTGAGGAATGCTAACAAGATCCATTTACTGTGACCTAGATGTGTGCAGACACCATTCTAAATGCTTTATACAAACACCCCTCACTGTTGTGCTGCAACCACTGGGTAAGGGGGGGTCTCACTGTGGCTCCTATTTGAAGATGAGCTATCTAACATGCAAACAAAGAATTTCATCCTTTTATATTCTTTTGGTAGTGGAAGATGATTAGCTTTCTGAGTTTGCAGACGGACAGAAGTGTTACTTTGGCTTTCCCCCAGGTATTTGCATGGTTTCCTCCTCACTTACTTCAAGCTCTATTTAAGTATCATTCTGTAACAGACCCTTTCTTGTCCACACTTCTAAATTATGCCCCTTAATTAGTTCATCTTCTTACTGGCCTTGATTTTTTTTATTCATAATACTAAATACTACCTTCATTTTTTGTCCAATCTTTATTTACTTATTATTTTATTTTATGTGTATGAGCGTATTGCCTGCATGTATGTAAGTGTACCCATGTCATGTGGTGCTCACAGAGTTCCCCCGAAACTGGAGTTACAGAGGGTTGTTGGCCACGAGGTGAGTGCTGGGAACTGAGCCCAAGTCCTCAGCAAGAGCAGCCAGTGCTCTTAACTGTCGAACCATCTTGCCAGCCCCTATTCATCCAATCTTTTATTGGTTCATTCACTCATAATTGCTTCTCCCCCTAGAATGCAAACTCTAGGAATTCTCTTTTCCCGTCCTCAGTAGGTGCTTATAAATAGTTTGTTGTGATTGTCATCCTTATTGGATTGAGAAGTGTCTAGAAGATTAATAAAGCATACCATGTCTGTGATTGTATTTCCAGAGAGGATTACCTAAGGAGGGAAGACCTACCCTGAATGTGGATTGCCACATTCCACAGGCTGAAGGCTCACATGCAGCAGAGAGGAAAAAGGAGAAAGTCCACTAGTGCAGCATTCTCTCTGCTTTCTGACTGTCATGACGTGAGCTGCTCTGTTCTGCCCTGTCCTGCCTATCACAGTGACTTGAAACTTCTGAAATGCGAGCAAAACAAATCTTTCCTCAAGTTGTTCACATCAGGTGTTTTGCCATAGTGACAAGAAGGCTAGCGAGTACAGTGTTAAAAATATTTATTGAGGAGCTGGGGAGATGGCTTAGCGGCTAAGACCACTGGTTGTTCTTGCAGAAGACCTGGGTTAGAATCCCAGCACCCACACGGCAGCTAACAACTCTCCGTAACTCCAGTCCCAGGAGATCCGACAGCCTCTTCTGACCTCCGCAGACACTGCATGACACAGGTGCACTTACCTACAAGCAGGCAATACTCGCATACACATAAAATAAAATAAAAAAACAAAAAAATTATTGAATCAATCAACCAATCAATCGACTAATCAAAATTATCAGTTACTATGTTGGAGAGAGTGAGGAGATAATTTTATATCAACAGCTAATGCAGTGTCAGAGAAATAATTTAGAATATCCCTGAGCAGGAATCCCAGAATTCCATGCTCTGGTTTTTGCTCTGCCACTAATGTAAATTCAATCAATCTTGATCTCTGGCTGCTTGTCCTTCAAAAAAGAACAAATAAAAATACCTAAGGTGATGGAGTGACTGTGGTCATGTGATAAAATTTCACTATATAAATAAAGTATACTTTGCATTTTTCTATACATACAGCTATGACACAATGAAAAAGAACTGAAGTGGTAGGCAGAAGACCTTAGTGCAAATCCTGCCTATTTCTCTTGTTAGTGTGTGACCTTGGATCACTCACTTCTCCTATCTGGACTTCACCTCATATATAAAGTGAGAAGTTCACAGGTATGGTACCACATACTGGTAGTAGTCCCAGCTAGTCAGAAAGCTGGGGCAGGAAACTCACATCGGCCTAGGAATATGAAACTAGCCTAGGCCACACGGAGAAGTCATTACCCCCCAAAAGTAAACTAAATATAGATAATATCCTATTAACTGGTAATAAGATATTATTTCTAGATGTGAGATCACTATTTGTTTAAAATGAACAAGATTTTCATAACACTAAAAGTCCTGAAGTTATAAATGTAGAATTAACCATGACCTTCACTTTCTAATCACAGTGTTAGAACTGACCCTCATGTAACTAACTGTAGAGAGACCAAGAAAAAGAATACAAAGAAATAGCTGCAACTACAAACAAGCAGTACATGCAAAGAAAGTTTATTATCACCAGATTATGCTAGGTAGAGATCTGAGTAATCGTTTATGCAAATTTTAATAGATAACAATCCTTAAGAGCCAGCATGTTCTTAGCTGCTCAACAAATCAAAATCTTTCTACCACTTTCTCATTCAGAGCTGAGACCACCCACTGGCGTTTCAGTGGAGACAGTTATTAGCAAATTAACCCAGTCTGTTCAATCTACTTTTCATTCATCATGGCTAAGATGCCTGAAAAATTAAGGTGGTTTGTTTTACTTACATTTGTTCCTGTCCCCAACTTTTCCCCAGGAAGATTAAAAGGCAGAGTATTCCCCAAAGGCCCATGGCTGGAGGTGGTATAAGCCCATGGGCACAATCTTGTTATAGGTACTTTCCTGGGTTTGAAGAATTTGGGTAAATTAGTTCTCTGGTTAATTATTAATGTCAGAGAACAAGATCTCTAAGTAAGAAACCTAAAACACCCTTTCACATCCAGGAACAAAGTCAAGAGGTGTTGTATGTGAATTTACTCACATAGACTTAACTTTATAAACACAAATAAAAGGACTGCAGAGTGGGAGCCTGGCACTGTGAAGACAGGCCAAGTGCTGGAAAGCAGGAGCCTTTGGCCATTTGCTCTGATGTCCTGCCCTCTTTGACATGCATCTGGTAGGTTCCACGTGCTTCTGAGACTGACAAACCTGGATTTGGCTTCAAATGGATGGTTTTAGAATAGGTCTTAACTAGAGAAGCCTCATTAGCTGACCTTTGTAAGAGAAAGCCTGAATGGTGACATTCTTGGTCTAAGGATATCTGCAAGGTGGGGGTGGAGGGGTCCTTGGCTCATCTTGGTCTGGAGACTGAACTTTGTGTTAGTGAGAAGAATGTCACTGGCAAAGGAAATGGTGTGCTGAAGATGCTGGCTTCATTCCAACCAATCAGACCCTTGAGTGTTGAGGAAGGAATGCGTATCCAGTATCTATTAATCCCTTTATCTCTCATTCAAAATTTGCATTTATTCAATCATAGAGTATTTTATTTTAAAATAGCCATGCCTTTCAGTGAGAATTTCAATAATTTCAATGTAAGAGCTCAAGATGAATAAAGACAAACAAAACAGTTGTGGCAATCAATTGTTAAACTTCCTATAAAAATTGATTGCCACAACTAATTTATAATTAAGTAAAATTTATCTTTAAGTTTATTTTTATGACGCTTTATATTCATTAGAGGAAATTACTTACATCTTCCTTTTTTGTATTTATTTTTACCTTCCTATGTAATATGTGTCATAGTTTAAAGTAATAAAAGAATTGCTAGGACCCGGTGATGTAGCTCAGTTGGTAATGTACCTGCTTACCATTCACAAAGTCCTGGGTTCAATCATCAGCACCATTTTTAAAACCTTGTGTGGTGGCACATGCCTTTAATAATAATAACACCTCGGTGGAGGCAGAAGGATCAGAAGTCCTAGGTCATCCTTGGCTAGACAATGAGTTTGATGCCAGCCTGGGCCACATAAAAAAATTTTTAAAAAGATGTCTAACCATACTCCTACAAGTCAAATATTTCTGTTCATATTGGAATTCCTTACTCTGAATTAATAAAATTCTTTTAGCCAATACTTTAATACTGAATCTGTTAGGGGGAAAAAGAGCAGAAATAAAAATTGTATATACAAATCTCACTAACATCTCATATCATTGAAATGGCAAAAATCTGCCACTGGTGTTTGACCATGTAGCTCATTTATTTCAAAGAAAAACCTGTAAAATGATTAAGCTGGGTTGCGAAAGATGGGTCAAGTTAAAATAAACAAAGTACTTTGTGATCATTTTCAGGAAATGAAACTCCAGAGCTTGGTGGAACATTACAGTGAGTGATATTTTTAAAGTAAAGAAATTTGTTTTCTTGTGCTATAAGGGCAAACACTAATAAGTGGTCTTTATAAACCATTAATATGTTTCTCTGATATAAAATGTTTAAAGATTGATGGTTTTCAACAATTTGTAGAGTCTCAACTGTTTAACAGAAACTGTTTAAATCTGTCTTCTAAATGCAGCTCATAGATGGATTTATGTTTTAAAATGTGACCTTTGCCAGGTGTGGTGGCGCACACCTGTAGTCCCAGCACTCAGGAAGCAGAGACAGGAGGATCTCTGTGAGTTCAAGGCCAGCCTGGTCTACATAGTGAGTTCCAGGACA